AAAAAAAAAAAAAACGCACAGCCCGGGGCAACTTGAAATCTCCCCTTCACAGAGAGAGGAAAAACTATGCTTGCAGGGGTCCCCTCTAGAAAAACGACCTGCAATCCCTTTTCCGACATAGTGGCCAGATACATTCGTCCAAGCACTGGTATAACTTCCACCCTCGTGAGGGCCTTTCCCGACATCCCTGTAATGGGGACTAGTGGTGGTTGAAAAAAAAAAAAAAAAAAAACAGTCCAGAAAAAAAACCCGCACAGCCCCCAAAAAACACTCAACCCTCCACCCAAAAAGGAAAACCAGGTCGCCGCCCATCACAACCCCGACCGACCTTGTGAACCGACCAATTTGCCGAAAGCCTGCAACGACCGGTCCGTCTCCTAGCCGCGACCGCACACTTTCCCACCTCCCCCTAAAGCCCGAAAACACCCCCGCCAACCTCGATTGAAGTCCACGACAGTCCACGACAGTCCACGACATTACCCGAAAAGGTAAGAAAACCTTGCAACCCAGGTAAGTGCAGCCTCTGGCTGCGAACTATATATAGTAGCAGTAGTCTATGGCATAAGTCCTCTTTCGACATGGCGCCAGGCGCTAGCCTGGTTTTGGGACATTGGTTAAGCGCTTTTGGTCTTGGGACAAAGTTTTGGCAGAGAGATGGGAGGATTCTCGAGTTGTCGTCTGTTGCGGCCTCTTGGATTTTTTTTCTCACTCAATAAAGCTTCATGTCGTTGTCGTTACATGGACTTGATCTTCACTGGCCGTGTGTGTGCATCCTCACCCCCTATAATGGCCAGGCGTTCTATTCAGGTGAAGACGGTAGAGCTCCGCCTGCTACTGTTGCTCCCACTACCATCACTACAGCGCCTGCCACGGCCACCACAACAAAGTGTCTGATAGAGTTCCATACTATGCTGACAGTTTGTGAGAAGTTTAAACCGCCAGTACACGGCCCCAGCCTTGTAGAGAATCGCGAGTTGCCGACTCCAAAATTTCAGTAGCGCGGGGCTACCACACCACAATGGTTGGCGGCGCAAGCCAAAAAGAAAAAAGGAAAAAAAACGCTGGCGGTTCAAAAAAGCTGGGCGCGCAGTGCAGCGCCTCCAGACCCGGGTGTACTGGTGTTTTAAACCACCAGCTCACTGCCCAGGCAAACTTGAGCATCGAAAAATAAGTCATCCGAAAATTTATGGTGAACAGTGCTACCGGACCAAAATGGCTGTCGACACCAGCCCAAAAAAAAAACAAAAAAACAAACAATGCCAAACGCCACTCTGGCATTTCGGCCAAGCTTGGCGCTCAGCAGGAATCTGCCTCAGCAAACGGAGGCTCGGATGTACTGCTGGTTTAAACCACCAGTACTTCCTAAAGTCCTGCCCGTTAACAAGCCACAATTTTAGGAGAGATGTACGGGCAACTACAGGGGCATCCAAATTCATCCGACTAGAAATGTTTCTACTCTATTTCCCCCCCCCACGGCTGACAGCTGGGCCAAGTACTGGTGGTTTAAGATACCTCAAGGAATGAAGTTCGGAATTCCAACTTTGAAGATAGAAAAGAGGGGAGCGCTGGGGGGGGGGGGGGGGTCAATCATTTCAGAACCCCAGTTGTTTCCAACATGACCCTTGAGAACCATGACTCATCGACAACCCTGTCCCCTCCACCTCCTCCACCTCCTCCTCCGCCCCAACCATGACCCTTGAGTTCCCCAGATCCTCTAGCATTTAGTTTGACATGTGATACAAGTTCATACAACGTCAACTTCATCATAATAAAAGTGAACTTACTGCAACTTCAGGATCGGCAATCTTGTAATCCTGGCAAAATTGCAAGGCAAAACCTTCGGGGTCGCTTTCCACGTTCCCAATATCCTTTTTCCCACAACATGGCACCAAAACCACAGAGAAAGCACCAAAACCACAGAGAAACAAAAAGCAAAGAATCAGTCAGGGCTAATAAATCCCTGGAACAAAAGCAGGGAAAAGAGTCTCGTGGCCGGCTGCCCATTCGTGCTATGTCCATGCTAAGAAAACATGCATCTGCACATTTTCAAGGCCAGATTCATGTTGTTTAAGCACAAATGTGGCACCAGTGAGACCAGGTACATACCTACCTACGCCTGTTGTCCAAGCTTTGCCAAAGTTCAGGATATCCTAGCAAAAAACTTGAGACAAGACAGACCAGACCGTGCAGGTATCCGAAAAAGTAACACAAAAATATATAAAATTTTAATAATTAATAAATTATTCTAAGAATCTAAATACACAATTTGAAATACCTCCAGCATTTTGTCACGTGCTTGGGCATGCTGTCCTTTGTCAGGAGCTAAGAGAGTGTGTAAACGTTCTCCCTGTGTGTCCGTAACATTTGAGCGCACAATAATGCCAGGTGTCTGGCCGCTAGAATTATCTCCTATTTTTTGTGTGTGTCAAAACACCCGGGGCATTATACCGGCCGGAGACCTTAAGAAGAACCCTGGACCGCTCATTAGCCACTTACTCGAATGGATTGTGTCTGCCCCTGCAGCCCTGCTCATATTCACTGCCACCCTCACAGCTCCAGGGCAGCAGAGACCCCAGCCATCGTACTCCTAAGGCTTACCCTACGGCGGCTGACAATCAATCACTGTGGTCCACGCTTTGTTGTACAGGCCCCTTGAGACTACTAGGTCCCCTATAGTGGTGCATGGACTTGACTAAACATTCAGTCCCTCCCTCCCATGAAGCCGACCCCCAGGTACCGTAAGATCCGCATTCCCTACCCTACAGCACAGCCCCACATGTAGGGTATCTTAAACTGCTAGCACACGGCCCAGCCTTGCAGAAAGTTTTTTGTTGCCACAAGCAAAACTCGGAGGCGCCGCGAGGCCAGCGGCGCCGTTGAAAAAAAAAATTGGCGGCCTCCGAAGTGGTGCGGGTTTCATGCTGACACCCACGGGCCTATGAGTGTTGTACTCGTGCTTTAAGCGATCCCCAGCCAACTTCCGACACCCCTCGACTCTATTGCCCCTACACTTCCATCGGCAGGCTAGGAGCATCACCTACCTATGCTGTGGGGAAACCGGCGGGCATTAACCGACGCACGGTCATTCGCACACTCCCGCTTCGGTGGAAACATGGTAAGGACTACAGACACGCCTGTTTCACCCTACCACAAATGGTTAACAGGTACCCCCACTTTTCACCTCTAGGGTGGGGGGTCGGTTAACCTTCTCTCCACAAATGGTCACACCCATGGTATTGTGTGCTTGGAACAGACTGGTAAGAGGGATGCTTGCGAGTTTAGGCACTTGGGTTATTCTGATGATCACCGTCATGTTAGGATGGTGTGTTTGTCATGGAAACCATTGGGGCTGGTTGGAGGGTTGTAAGAAATATTTAGTATTTACTGATTGAATAGAGGTACCAAGTAGCCATTGTAGAAAACAATGCACACCAAAACACACTCGCATGCCTGTACATAATGGGGATTAGCGGAGTTTTGAACCCACACCCTCATACCACAATGGGTGTTTCTAACCGGTGCTTTACCCACTACACTATCAGCCATTCACGCCACTAACATTATCACATCCAATAAGATATTTGAAATGAGCCAAGTACTCGTCAAGTTCAACTTCGCAAACATCAACGGACATTCACATGAAGCCAAATTGAGATACAATCAACACTTGAAGATGTCGTCTCCAATATGATTATCAATATACAAAGAATGTTTGTCTCCAGCGGCTCTGCCGCACACACATGCAACGGGTCTCAACCAGATAGCGGATATGGCTTCTCCCCTCTCCCTCTCTCTCTGTCTTGACTCGCTCTGCCTCTCTCTCTCTCTCTCTCTCTCTCTCTCTCTCTCTCTCTCTCTCTCTCTCTCTCTCT